CAACAAAATCAGCCGGGCCTCGGCCCAGGTTGTGTATACCCCATAACTACGCCGAGCGACAGCTGCCACAGGTGAACCCAGCCGCCAGTAAGTGGTGTGCCTGCCAGACGTCTCGTTACTTCAGTCAATCACTGAAACTATTCTGTGTAGTCATATGATCTCAGCTTTAATTTTCGGGTGGCATGGCGGCACAGGAATCAGTGGCGAGCCCAAGGGAAGGCGCAAGGGGCCGGCCCCCTCCATAGTCTTTCATATTAATTTGGGTAAAATTTCCCTAAATTTATTACTTACAGGTGACAGACAGATTGGGCAGGAAGGACAACACCCTCACTCGAATCTTGTCTTTGAAAAGCTTTCATATTATGTAATGCGTATTAATAAAAATCTAAGGTTTAGATTTTTATATAGAACCAGTTTAAAACTGTTTACATTGACAGTTTTGTTGATTTTTTCGTTACGGTATCTCATCAGATTGGTAATTTCAGCAACAATCATCTTAACTTTCATGCTGAAAAGTAAATTCGAGTAAACAGAACTATACAGTAGCTCTGCCTACAGTCTATAGTACATCATCCTTACTCGATCAAGAGGTGCGTCTTCGGTAACGACACTAGAATGGTGAGTTAGGAAAACCTGTATCTATCACAATGACATTGACTGTCAGTTCAATAAATGCAAAGCATTTTCCAAATTTTAGTATTATCATGCGCTTGTTGCTGCTACAGCCACTACAAAGAGGGTAAACTCTTCCCTCAAAAGTGGCAGGACGGTCCTATCAAAGATTCTATGTACAGAATCCTTGGAGTACGTGCCACCATGGGTGAAAATAAGCTTTATTGTTGTAGCACGTACAGTACACAGGGACATATTTCTTGATTATGATAAGATTACACAGATATGTGTGAGCCGACACCCAAGGAGATGGTTTGTAAATCCATTCCTGATAATGAATAAATGATACAAATGACATGTATCCACACTTGAAATTTGACTGTATTTGGTCTACAAAAATAAATCTCAGTTCATTTTTTATTAAAGTAAGTTTTGTTGCCAGAAAACGAGTGAATCTCATTCTCCAGGTGCTTAGTTATGTGTTTCACATGTCACCACAAAAGGTTTCTCACTTTCGTATTTCCACAATTTTCTCCAGTCCAGGAGGGGTCCCCCCCCCCATCCCCCGCTTCATGGCTTAGCTGTCTCGTCAACAGTTGTACCATTAGATTAAGCCTCCATCCCCCGCTTCATGGCTTAGCTGTCTCGTCAACAGTTGTACCATTAGATTGAACCCCCATCCCCTTTCATGGCTTAGCTGTCTGTCAACAGTTGTACCATTAGATTAAGCCCATCCCTCGCTTCATGGCTTAGCTGTCTCGTCAACAGTTGTACCATTAGATTAAGCCTCCATCCCCGCTTCATGGCTTAGCTGTCTCGTCAACAGTTGTACCATTAGATTAAGCCTCCATCTTCATGGCATCAACAGTTGCATTAGATTCATGGCTTAGCTGTCTCGTCAACAGTTGTACCATTAGATTAAGCCTCCATCCCCGCTTCATGGCTTAGCTGTCTCGTCAACAGTTGTACCATTAGATTAAGCCTCCATCCCCCGCTTCATGGCTTAGCTGTCTCGTCAACAGTTGTACCATTAGATTAAGCCTCCATCCCCCGCTTCATGGCTTAGCTGTCTCGTCAACAGTTGTACCATTAGATTAAGCCTCCATCCCCCGCTTCATGGCTTAGCTGTCTCGTCAACAGTTGTACCATTAGATTAAGCCTCCATCCCCCGCTTCATGGCTTAGCTGTCTCGCCAACAGTTGTACCATTAGATTAAGCCTCCATCCCCCGCTTCATGGCTTAGCTGTCTCGCCAACAGTTGTACCATTAGATTAAGCCTCCATCCCCCGCTTCATGGCTTAGCTGTCTCGTCAACAGTTGTACCATTAGATTAAGCCTCCATCCCCCGCTTCATGGCTTAGCTGTCTCGTCAACAGTTGTACCATTAGATTAAGCCTCCATCCCCCTTATTTCTAAACACGCCCCTGAGATTGACTAAATACTGTACGTCACACTTCTTACACTGCTGAAACTTGGTGCGCAAACACCCATTATTTTGTCCTTGGTCCTGATCATATTACGTCTAGTTACAGTGCGCCCTGACGACCTGTTAATATACTACCAAATACAACTCGAGCGCTGGCGATGCTCAGACCTTGACACCTCGGCAGACGTCATCAATATCTGTGTGGCGGGTACTGAGGGGGTCGGTTGGGTGAGATGGCAGCGGAATGTGATATCCGGACATGCATGAAATGTGACCACGGGGCCACACCGCCACCTGTCATATCTGATACTGGCCTGACTCACAAAATGACGTTTGCATTTGACATTTTCAGCTTAGTGTAAGTCAGGCAGCTGCCACTCTCTCTCAACAAGTACAGCTCTCACAAGGCCACAGCGCGGGGACACGGTTACTCTCACCTCCCCAGTGGACCCATGCCAAGAGTTCCGTGTTGGTGTAGCCACGGACGCTCACCTTCACGCCCATCACGATTCATCCCCCTCGTGTTTATAAGCTTAGGACGCTTTAGAACCAAAAGTTTCCTAATTACATGTTAACCTAACCTTACTTAAACTTAAGCTGTCCTCGGTGTAACCTTAGCCTTGCTTTCTCTAGCCTTAGACTAAACCTAATGTTACATGTACCCTTACCTAACTAGGTTAAATCATTCTAGGCCGGATTCGTTTGCAAGTCATATCTACCTAAAGGCATCAAGGCTTACTTGTTCATACACAGTGATAAAATATAGCGCAATGGTCTACATGATTTCAGCATTTTACACACATTCTAAAAATTCCTCTGTGACGACCTCTGGGTGTGTTGCAGTGAGGAATTTCAGAACTGCAACCTTGCATTTTTAAACCGATCAACAAAATCCCGTAAATCGTAGCCTGGACGCAGCGTAGCGTGGAAATGTTTTATACGTGTTGCTGTCAAAGAGTATATCTTCGTCTAATACAATATCGGTTTATCATGTTGGACAGACTAAGTGCTAAAAATTGGAGCTTTTGTTTTCTATTTAGTCTGGAATAAACCTTTACGTGCACTTTAGTCTGAAAGGTAAAATAAAATAGGAAAGCTGTATGAAATTACGTCGAGCACACACACACACACACACACACACTAGGTCAGAGGGTGATCAGATTAAACGGATGGACGACTTTGCGCTTCTCACCACCTATACCAACAGTCCATATTACTGCTGCTGCCTCTCAGCTGTACTTCCCACACTGTACTGTGCTATAACTGCTTTACCGATAATATTTCTAACTCGACATCATATGCTTGGAGAACTTGAGATAATATATACGTACTGTGTATTATAAGTCACGCTAGAGATCATCGCCGATTAAGTCTTAAAAAACAACTGACGTTTTTGCCGAATAGGAATAACTTTTTTTTTTTTCTAGAGTAATGGAAATTATTTCGTAAATATCACAATTTGTCTTGTTTAATTTAAGACAGCCAAATTATACCTAAAGCAGGTTAGATAACGTTAGGTTACGTTATGGTAGATCATTGAATTGAAACAGTTTATTTAGCCAGCAAAACACAGATACAGAGTGGATAATAATAACAATATTAACATGGCTGAGCCAGACGAGAACCTGGGCTCTCTTTTAGGCACCTGATATATACTATACATTTATCTCAAGAAGTATTATGTAACATTTAGTATCATCTGGAATAGTACGCATTGCATGGTTGGTAATAAGAACATCTCATTATGCTACCACGGTTATCACTTCAATATTTATTTATTTTATTTATTTATAAATATTTTTTTTAGTTTATTTTTTGTATTTTAAGTATATACATAAATTACAGTGGAATTGCAAAAACATAAGTAGAGTGGGGGAGCAGTACAACCTGGGTTGTACAGTAAAAGGATGAACAAGAGGACAGAGCTGTCAGGATTATGTCCAGTTGGCAATTATGTTTATTACAATGGTAATTTCTTATCTATTTACATGATAATTTCCGATACAACGATTTTGATGGTACAATAAAAGCAGGTACTGTAAATATATCACGTTTGGTTAGGTTAGGTTAGGTTTAATATGAAGCTATTTATTATTATGTATTATGATTATCTATATGATCTTTTAAGGCAAGTCAGTAGTTTAAAAACAAATAAATGAATCGATAGAAGTTATCAGTACTTGACAATAATCCCTAAAAGTGTAATATACTCACACATACATGAGACAGGCAGGTCATCCCTACCAACAATGAAACACAAACGTCACAAGCTGCCATGTACTGTACTCACACCTTTAGGAGAACAAACACAAGTGAGAACAAAGAAAAAAGCACAATAGAGTACATAAGCTGACTGAGTTGTCCTGAAAGTGTAGATGAAGTAACCGCAGGTAAGACAAATGTTAACCTTACCACTGATCTTTTTGAGGATGAACAACTTTTTCTTACATGTACAGGCTAACGTTCAAACTATTTTTACACACCCAAACATTTAGTTGATTATCCGCTTCCTAGCACCACTGAAGAATAAGAACCTATTTTCATTTTTTTTTACACAATACTGTATCTCGTTATTTCGTTTTCAAAGCAAATGAGAAGTTTGTATTTTCCAATTTATTCTGATTAGTCTAAGAGTTGTATCAGTATCGCTTAGTTGTCCCAGACTAAATTAGTTTGCACTGCATACAAAAAAGAATTATTGTTCAATTATCTCTAGAACATAATTTAACATTTTTTATTGATAAGTTTTGGCCTACTGTTGAAAATGTATCTTGATAACAACTCATACGAAAATGTGGTTCAAGATATAAATGTAAAAAAAAAGTACGATACTGCATACTTAATGCAAGGGTGAGTTTCATGTAGACTCGTCCTTTACTAAGTGTGTGTATGAACTAGCTAGTTGTGGTGCGTAAAGCAGTGATGTGGTAATACTGTAATGAGGCGGTCGGTGCTCCCACAGGCGGAGGAGGACCGCAACAACACCACCAGGATGATGGAGCGCGTGGCACACCTGCAGGACCAGCTCAAGACCTACGCTGCTCACCTGGAAGACGCCAAGCAGGTAGCAGACGCCAACCTGGCCAAGTACAAGCAGGCCGAGCGTGCTAGAGACCTAGCTAAGGATCTCAGCAGTATAAGGGAAGAGCGCGCCAAAACCGCCAGCAGGAGGGAATAGCCTGGGCGCCAGATGTTCCCACGGACGAGGTGCGACTCCAATGGTGCCACAGTTTACACGTATATCCGCCTCAAAATGGGATTACAGAAAATGTTGAGTAAGACTAGCAGCTTAACTTTGGCACATCATGTGACTTAAGTCGCTTGCGCTTTAAAAGCTTCGCTAAAGCAGGTTTGAGAATGGTAAGCTTTGCCAGGCCATCAGCTAAAACAAGCTTATACATGATGTTACATAGTACGAGGAGTGCTTTTGCAAATAAAGAGCTGACAATGGTACCAGATCATACTGGTACAATCTAGCTTATAGTCTAGCTGTGCAGAAACGGCTTTCGAGAAGAGGCTCAGAGTGAAAGCCTTGAAAGACTGTATCAATAATAATCACGAATGCATTTCCAGAGAAAAATTATACTGTACAGTATATGGCAGCCATACAGGGTGATCACAAAGATGCTGCCGATCTACGACAACAGAAAACAGTGTTAAAACAATGAGAGGCTAGTTGTGCTAATACATATGCTATATAAATCCACGTATATTTAATATTTCATCAGTTAATCAGAATGCAACAGATGGAACCCAGATGTGTTTATGAAGCAAATAGCTCTAAGTTGTAACGGTGAGGGTACACAAAGGTTCATAATATGAAAATTTCTCCAAAGTGAAGTTGTAAGAATGCATCTACAGTATAACACCCAAAAATATACAGTACAAGATCACTGAAAGAAACCGTATAATCTGTCCTCCTTAACTGGTACATAGAGAACGTATCTATTTCTGTTATAGTTTAAGCGAGTGATAGTGTAATTTGGGTGCCATTTTCAACGTTACTTTTGTATTCTAGTTCAAGTAAACCAGATGAATTCTTGCATCTTCACTTTAGAGTTATTGTACGAAAAACTACGAATCCTGACCCAATTGGCTCGTTTCGACAAAAGTAAATCAGAGATTAATGTGAAAATAAATTATGTTATTTCCTGTTTGCTGAACGTATTGTTAATAATAAAGATCAGACCACCATGCGTCACTAAGGTGTAGATCACTCACTGCAACAGCTTATATACCATGCACTGTGTCCACACAAATGAAAATATTTACTGTTAGTAATCGACTTGACACAAAAGTAAAAGAAATATCACCAACACGTTCGTGGAAACAATGTTAAGCTCCCCGAAGGGCTGGTCAGAGCAGTGCTTCAATCTATCTGTCCTGGGAGACCTGTGCAGCCATGTTATGTGGTGGTGCTGATGGATTCTCCAATATCCTCCGTTTTTCTTTGTCAGTCTTAACGAATAACCTGAAACGACATCTCGTGAGAAATTTGACGTTGCTTTCAATAAAGACATTGAAACCGATATGCTTTACGATATTATAAAACAAAAATAAAAATATGACAAAGTTAAAGCAAATAAAAAAATGTTTCGTCATATTTAATTGCCGTAATAAAATGGTTTGTATTTGTTCTATTTTCGATTTCGTTACAACTTAACACTATATATATATACTTACTCTAATTCTGCTTATGGCTTTTAGTGCTTTGCTTGTATGTCAAAACTTATTGACAAGTTTAGTTAAAATCAATTTTGTATGCATAAATCTGGTCACCTGCTGTTACATTGGTTAGTTAATCAGAGATCGTTTTTCTATCAGTGGTTTACCTCTCGTCTAAGTGTACGACAGCATGGGACCAGTTTATGATAAATTAGGCTTAACATTTACATTACATCCCCGCTTATTAGACCCGCAAAAAGAAAAATATTTATGCTAGATTCATTTTCGTAGTTATTATTTATATTTCTAATATCAATTGTTCAAATTTATTTAGCTATTATAATGAAGTTGAACTCACAAAGTTCTGTAATACTGTATTAATAATAATGAATAAATTAATATATCCGTTAAAACTCGCTATAAAATCACATACAATCAAATAAAAATAAACGACGACTATTGTAATAATATAATAAAAATAAGCAATAAAATTAAACAAATGGCCTCATATCGTGGCAGCCGTTATCCTACAAACTTTTGGCGACAAAAACCTGCCAAAACCCGTGTTCGCCTTCACAAGTTAGGAGGCGCCTCTCAGGCAAACTTGTCGTAAATCTCTTCTGTTTACTCTCGCTCCGCCTCCCACGAATTATCTTGAGAGATAAAATATTTATCTTTTCAGTCTGGTAATGAGGTGTTTGATATTTTTAGACCAGGTGACGAGCTAGTTGCGACAGAGTTTAATGAATTCATAGTTATTTTCCTCTGGGTTAGCCTGGATGTGTGGCGCAGACGAAGCGTATACGCGAGGCTATCTTCGGAAGCTTATTCTCTATTGTTAGTTTACTCATTATTATAGTGCATTAAAAAGAGTGCTAATATTATGTGTTTTTCTCCCCTATATGTTGGAGACTATTTGGGTGACCAGTAGGTTGAGTAGACCGTGAAAACATTTGATGTTTCCGTGAGCAACAGCTTATTGTGTGTCAATTCCACAACTACTAATTGGCCAGTAATTGCTTCATTGAAATGAGTGGTTCCGTAAAAGATTCTTGAAACAAAGTCGGTTCTAACTTTTTCCGTATATAACTCACCATTAAAGGTCACTGAGTTGATACAGTGGACTATGAAACTATACAATCAAGCAATATTTAATTTTCGTATGTATACCACAGTATTTTTTCCCTAGCGATTGTGATTAAAAAGTCAGATGAGAGCGAGAGCCGCGACACACACACACACACACTGATGCTGCTGATATCGTTCACATGAAACCTTGCACATTTACAAATATTAAGTACTGCATACTGAATCGACCAATAGGTACATTTAAGCTTTACGTCTGAATAGTTTTGGGTTACATGTAGAGAGAAGAAAAGGTAAAAATGTAGTTTAGTTCATGTCAGGGAGGATAGACATTTCATGGATCAAGCCCTTATTCATCAATGTTCAACTAAATATATACCAAAAATATTCTTCTCAGTATAATCCATTCCATGATTCAACACATTAATTTAATTATTTTGGTTTTACTTATGAAGCGACTTATAGCAGGATTGAACTCATGGCGATAAATACAGAACAGTACTTAATTTTGGCAATAGTCCAACGTTTGTTCCTACTAGAATCAGAAACAGCTCAGATGTGGTTTGTTTTCATTCGTCGCAGAGTGCAAAACATTTGAAGCTAGTGGCCTACTAGCCGCTTCATAATTAAAATAGCAAGTCGAATCGTGAAATTTCATCCATCAGTGTGTTCGGTATATAATGTGTTTTCAAACGTTAATTAATAAGCGCGCCTCTAACTTACACTTTCACGTAATGAATAAAGTTCCACTTGACTGGAAAAAAATCATGTATTAAAACTTACAAGAAAACTTTTAATAACACTTTTTTGTTGACGTAAGACCTGCGAGTCAAGAAAACATAATGCCATCCCGATTTTTCTGTGCACAATAGCATACTAAGCCAAGTGCGGTCTGGCGCTGTCTTTACAGATCATGACGTTTCATTGGCCTCTGCTGTGTACCATACCTGTAAACTGTCTATCATTTAAACGAATTTACAGTCATACGACCCTAGCCGCTGGTGATCAGTGGTGGAAGCTGGGTAAGCGGTGAAAGGAGGGTCGTAACATTATTATATAATCAGTTACGAGGAACATTCATCATATGAACCTTTGAAAATCTGGAATCAATCGTAGGCCATTATTTTCGGACACACTACAGCATATTTACACACAATTATATATATATATAATATATATATATATATATATATATATATATATATATATATATATATATATATATATATATATATATATATATATATATATATATATATATATATATATATATATATATATTATATATATGGTTTATTAAATATATTAAGATGTATATCACCAACGTAAAATATGGCAGTCTTAAATTTGATGAACCCTCCTTTCTTAAGATAATTGCAATAAGTTAGTTTGTACCCTGGTGATTTTTTAAGGGCACCCCTACTGCATAAACCAAGTTACTGTTAACAATGTTTAAAGTTACCGTAAAGCGTAGGGCAACAGTGAAGCTGAGCGAAGACAAAATTATCTGTGATGTGCTGCCAGGCTAAAATTAGAGTCCACGCGCTCAAGGGCATCATGGCAGGGACTACTGTCTCAAGATATTATTGTATAACCAAACCTATATAAGATATTAAATAAAATCAGGCAAACAATTGTAACGCGTAACCGCTTTTTAATTTTGGTTTAACAAATTTATTGACAGAGCTTGGAGTACAGTTTGCCTAGTCTGAGTAATTTAGTCGGGTCTTGACACTGAGGGTGGTATCACTTCTCACTACCACGCAGGACAGAGGTTCATACACAAAGAAATACATCATATTCATTAACAGTATATATACTGTAAGTCAGTCATGTGGGTGATGTCACTGTTCACTGCCATGCAAGACAGTGGTTCATATACATTGGACGCCATATTCTAATTGAAGATTCATCAGTGTGGGCTAGCAAATTTGGGATAAACAGCAAGAATGTCCTCAAGCACCCCCGATTCAATGTAGTAATTACAAAGTTCATGATACAATAAGTCAGGTGGCCTGAAGTCTTTGACGGTGTCACATTCAATAATATAGTGTTCAAGTGTATGCTTTAAAGTTTTATCACAAAGTTTACATGCTGAGTGTTCCGGTATGGGTACAGCGTTACTAACTTACCAGATGTGTCTGTATCCTAGCCTAATTCTGGCCACGACTATGTCACATTGTCTGGTTCTGTCCTTATGCTGGCCATCCCGGTACCTCTCGTCACAAAATTTGTCATATTTACTAATGCTACAACTGTCAGGTCTCTCTGCATTTCTCAGTTCTTCTAGATCAGAGTTCATGATTCTGACTTGAATGTTTTTAAGTATAGCATTGGACAGGCCAAGGTCACGGTCAACATTTTCTTTCTTACATGCCTCATTGGCCAGTCTATCAGCACGGTCATGATACCTAATTCCAACATGGGACAGAATCCACACAAATTCGATACGAGAGTTTTTCTCATTGTGTTATCACATTTCTTTTAATATCACATACAACTTTAGACATAGAGCCTGACGGGCTGTTCATTGAGTTCAAAGCACTTTGAGAGTCACAGAATATCACCCCACCTCTATTTTCTTTAAGGTAGGCTGTGGCTAAGTAGATTCCAGTTAGTTCAGTTTGTGTTGTGCTGGCCCAGTTGTTCAGCCTTTGCTTGTTTGACAGCAGTGGCTACGATTTTAATAATATTTCTGTAAATATCATAGTTGTTGTTGATGTTGTTTTGGTTAAAATTAGCTTCAACAGTTAAGGTCGTTCTGTGTGTACCGGCAGATACATTAAGCAAAATAACAAAAAGATATTTAGAGTAAATTACCAAACTTAGATAATATGGACCATGTCAAAGTAATTTTCTGGATAAGCAGAACAGTTAAGTGACTGGCATTGACGAAAATCTAAAATACATCAAACATGAATTGTATAATGTAAAAAGATGAACTACTCAGTAATCTTTAATACTTGTATACTTTATAAGCTAACTTTGAGTACACTAGGTAAAAAATATATCTTTACAATTATTCTTGTGCGAAACAAATTGACACCACGAACGAAGGTCCACGAAGCATACTGTTATTCACCAATCATATTGCAACGAATTAATTTGATATTCCGAATGATTTAACTAAATTAGGCCTACCATAATATGTAAGAAATGTCTCACAATCAGGCCTACCAACCCCAGCGAGACAACAGGATTGTTCAGTTCCAAATTCATCGGACCTCTCCATGATGATTTGTTTACAGTGTACAGTGTATGCTTTAAAGGCCTTAGTTGCTGAAGCACGAAAATACAGCACATGTAAACAACAATAACGACAAAGAATAGCGGATCATCTTATCACTGCATCATTTACCTCAACCGTTTGTTAGACTTTCTACCTACCGGACGGTGGCATGAGTATGGCAACAAAAAAACTCTACCTAACCTGACATTACCCAAGTTAACTTAACCAGATTTAATCTAACTACCAAACAAACTAACAGCTTAACTTAACCTAACAGCCTATCTTAATCTAACCTCACCTAACAGCCTATCTTAATCAAGACTAAGCTAACAGCCTAATTCAACCTAACATAGTCTTGGTTAACCTAACCTGGTTTCGCCTATTCTAACTTAGCTTAGCCTAAATTAACCTAACTTAATCTAACCTAAATCACCCTAACTTAGCCTAACCTGATTTAACATACCCTACAGCCCACCACACGATCAACTTACAGTACTTACAAATTAACCAGTGATGCTATCTGTAGTACAAATTAACCAGTGATACTATCTGAAGTACAAATTAACCAGTGATGCTATCTGTAGTACAAATTAACCAGTTATGCTATCGGTAGTACAAATTAACCAGTGATGCTATATGTAGTACAAATTAACCAGTGATGCTATCTGTAGTACAAATTAACCAGTGATGCTATCTGTAGTACAAATTAACCAGTGATGCTATCTGAAGTACAAATTAACCAGTGATGCTATCTGAAGTACAAATTAACCAGTGATGCTATCGGTAGTACAAATTAACCAGTGATGCTATATGTAGTACAAATTAACCAGTTATGCTATCTGTAGTACAAATTAACCAGTGATGCTATCTGTAGTACAAATTAACCAGTGATGCTATCTGTAGTACAAATTAACCAGTGATGCTATCTGTAGTACAAATTAACCAGTGATGCTATCTGTAGTACAAATTAACCAGTGATGCTATCTGTAGTACAAATTAACCAGTGATGCTATCTGTAGTACAAATTAACCAGTGATGCTATCTGTAGTACAAATTAACCAGTGATGCTATCTGTAGTACAAATTAACCAGTGATGCTATCTGTAGTACAAATTAACCAGTGATGCTATCTGTAGTACAAATTAACCAGTGATGCTATCTGTAGTACAAATTAACCAGTGATGCTATCTGTAGTACAAATTAACCAGTGATGCTATCTGTAGTACAAATTAACCAGTGATGCTATCTGTAGTACAAATTAACCAGTGATGCTATCTGTAGTACAAATTAACCAGTTATGCTATCTGTAGTACAAATTAACCAGTGATGCTATCTGTAGTACAAATTAACCAGTGATGCTATCGGTAGTACAAATTAACCAGTGATGCTATCTGTAGTACAAATTAACCAGTTATGCTATCGGTAGTACAAATTAACCAGTTATGCTATCTGTAGTACAAATTAACCAGTTATGCTATCTGTAGTACAAATTAACCAGTTATGCTATCTGTAGTACAAATTAACCAGTGATGCTATCTGTAGTACAAATTAACCAGTTATGCTATCG